CTCTGTTTCTCTTTCCACAGATGTTGCCACACCTGCTGAGTTTCTCCAGCTTTCTCCATGTTTGTTTCAGATTGCCAGCATCTGATGTATTTTATTTTAGGATAAAGCAGCCGCTTGTTTGACACTCCATCCAGTGCCTTCAACATTCACTCCCTTCACTGCTGACGTACATTGGTTGCAGTGGGTACCATCTATTATACAGTCCCTGTAGCACTTTCAAAACCTTCCACTACTACCACCTAGAAAGGGCATGGGCAGCAGACACATAGAATCTTACAAAGGCCTGAATGCAGTGGGCTATGATGAGAAATCACGGTGGCTCAGTAGTTAGCGCTGCTGCCTCACAGCGTCAGGGACCCAAGTTTGATTCGACCCTCGGGCAACTGGCTGTGTGGAGTTTGCATGTTCTCCTGTGTCTGCGTGGGTTTCCTCCGGGGGCTCCGGTTTCCTCCCACAGTCCAAAGATAAACAGGGTAAATAGATTGGCCATGCTAAGTTGCCCATCATGTCCAGAGATGTTTAGGTTAGGTGGGTTAGACATGGCAAATGCAGGAGTAGGGGAATCGGTCTGGGTGGGATGCTCTTTGGAGGGGTGCTGTTGATTTGTTGGGTTGAATGGCCAGTTTCCACCCTGTAAGGATTCTATGATCTATGAATTGTGAAAAGTCCTATGAGGCCTATCTTGACACTGGGAGCAACTAGTTGCATTTTGCAACAGAATTCTGGGTGTCAAGATGAAATTCTTGCAAGGCAGTGGTGAGATGCCTGTTAATAGAGTTATTGCTTGTTATCATCGAATTAACTCCGAATCTCACCTCATGCATCCAAGGTTTCCTGTTGTACCACTCGCAGACGCTGAGAATTACTGCTGTGAAAGTCTGAGTGATACCTGGCAACTCCAGCTCACTCACAATCAGTTCTGAAGAAGGGTCATCAGACCTGGAATGTTAACTCTGTTTCTGTCTCCACAGATGCTGCCAGACCTGCTGAGTTTCTCCAGCAATTTCTGTTTGCATTAACTCCAGCTCACTGCTTGCTCCTCTGAAACTGGACACTGGGCACCAATATCTCAGGGCACTCTCCCCGGACATTGGCATCTGATATGTGTTTGTCTCTCTGTTCCATCATGGCACATCTCCAATCCACTTACAGGACACTTCTCCCTGAATGGCCAACTTCTACTCCTACATCTTATGGTCTCACATTGTAGTCATTGTAAATTTGAGGGCAACCTAACCTAGTTGCTCGAAGATAGCTAGTGTCTTAATTCACAGATAGTCCATTCTCCCATCAACCCTGTACTGGCTGACCTGCTAATTGCACCTGTACAAGTAACACGTTGACTTCAAAATTTTCAACCTTCTTTTCAAGTTCCTCCATGCTGTATAATCTCCTCCAGCTTCACAAAGCTCCAAGATATTGGTGCTTATCGATTTTTGGCCTCTTCTGCATCCCCACTTTTAATTGATCTACCATTGATGGCTGTACCTTCAGTTGCCTAGGCCCTATGTTTTGGAATTTCCTCCCCAAAGCTCTGCACCTGTCCACTTCCCTTACATCATGTCCTTAAAACCCTTATCTTTGACCAAATGTTTGATCACCTGACTTCTTTTCTCGTCATGTGGCTCAGTGGTATACTTTGTTTTACAATATTCCTATAAAGTACCTTGGGGTGTTTTATTATGTCAAAGGTGCCATAGAAACATAAATTGTTGTTGTTGTAGTAGGTGAGAGGGTAGAGATGTGGATGGGTTCAGAGAGGGAAGTCTATATGAGCACGTTAGATCCCCTATGGTTTCTCCTGAGGGCACAAACACTTGCTGAGAAAACACTTTCACAGACTCTGAGAGCCATCTGGCACCTGAGCCCCATGCTTTATGTAAGAACCTAGACAGCTAGCTATTCAACAGTGTGTTGAATCACAGATGAGGCCTATCCTTTTCAGTGACCAGGAGCAGGAAGGAAGTGGTCGATATTTTCCCCTTGGCAACCCTCAGTTATTGAAGCAAATGGTGCAGAGCAACTGTTTGCCTGGCTGAGGTCAGCAAACCCCTGGAGATACCTGGCGGGTATCTTTTTTGAACACCTTCTGATGTTTAGGGCCCAATGCCACACACAGGGCTTCCAACCTCATTATCCCAGAGTCTCTAGGAAGGTAGATTTATCAAAATAATTCCAGGAACCAAACGGTCAAGTTATGCAACTGCCCAAACTTGATTTGTCATCTCTTGAATATAGAATACAGGCATTGAGTCAGAGAGGTCCACAGTAGAGAAAAAGGCCATTCAGCCATTGAATCTGTGCTGGTCAAAAATAACCAACAAACTATTCTAATCCCATTTTTCAGCCTGCTGCCTGTAGCCTTGTACACTTTGACATCATAAGTGCATTTAAATATTTCTTAGATGTTACAGGCAGTGAGTTTCAGATTTCCACCACACTCTGGGTGAAGAAATAGCTCTTCACATCTCCTCTATCCTCCTGCCCCTTAGTTTAAATCTATTCCCCTGTTCATTGATTCCTCCACCAAGTCTCTCCTGTCTTTGCTCCTCATACTTTGACACATCACAACCATGGCACCACTCAGCCTCCTCTGCTTCAGGGAAAACAGACCCAAGTCTATCCAATCTCTCCTTATAACTAAACTCTCCAGCCCAGGAAACATCCTGGTAACAGATAGTAAGAACTGTCGTTGCTGGAGTCGGAGATAAAACAGTGTAGAGCTGGAGAAACACAGCAGGCCAGGCAGCATCAGAGGAGCAGGAAAGCTGACATTTCGGGTCGGGACCCTTCTTCAGAAAATGGCCCATTTCTGAAGAAGGGTCCTGACCGAAATGTCAGCTTTCCTGCTTCTCTGATACTGCCTGGTCTCCAACATCCTGGTAAATCACCTCTATACCCTCTCCAGTGCAATCACGCCTAGAACATGTGTTTCACAACTACACATTATGCTTTAGAATGTGGAAGGATCATCAAAATTAAGTGTTTGAGGAGGTTTCATTGGGTAAATTCTTGGAAATTATTTCCTCTGCTGATGGAATCAAACTGCAAAATACCAAACTCTTAAAATTAGAACTGGACAATTTAAGAAGTAGTTAATCACATAAACAATAGTGTCCTTCTCTCCCACAAAGGTATACAAAGGGATATTAAAAGTTGAAAGTTTTAAGACAGACATTGATCTTTTTGGGTAGGAGGATTGCTTAACAGAGGTGGGTAAAATGTGGTTGAGATGAGCCATGATCTGATTGAAAGAGGGAATAGGAACGAGGGGCTGAATGGACATCAAAGGCTGCCATACTCACACCTCACTCACTGCCCCTCACCCCCTCACCCCTCACTCACTGACCCCCAGCCCCTCACTCACTGCCCCCACCCCCTCACTGACTGCCCCTCACTCCCTCACTCACTGCCCCCACCCCCTCACTGACTGCCCCTCACTCCATCACTCACTGAGCCCCACACCTCACTCACTGCCCCCCACCCGCTCACTCACTGCCCAACCACCCCCTAACTCACTGCACCCCCACTCCACTCTCTCCCCTGACCTCACTCACTACCCCACCCCCTTCACACACTGCCCCCCAACCCCTCACTTACTGCCCCCGTCCCACTCACTGCCCATCCTGCCCTGCTCCCTTCCTTACAGGGTGTGGTACCCGCAGCATTAGAGCAGGGTCTCGGGACTGAGGGTGAGGGAGGCAGTGACGGATCCTGTGGGTGGGAGGGGCTTAGTCAGCAATCCCTAAATTTTAAACTGGCATTTTTCTGAGAAAATAGCAATCCTTCACCATAGTGCTAGGCTGGCAGAGTGAGATCACAGAACATTTAACACAAAACCATCTTGTCCTGCCACTGCACTTGTTCAGATAGCTGTGTTTTGCTGCTGTGTTTTGATTCTGAAACGGATGGTGTGTTAACAGTGAAGGCACAGGCATTGTGACTGCATTGGCTAATAGGGTGATGTTATAACTTATGGAGACAGCAAAAGCAGCAGTTATATAGTACCTATCACAACCTGAGGACTTTCGAAAGCACTTTACGTCTTTTCCAGTGTGGGTATTATTATGTTGCAGGAAATATGGTAATCCAAGCATTGAATATAACTGCTGGAAAACTCTGTATATCATTAGTTAGGCTGGAGCACTATGTGCAGTTCATCACATTATGGGAAGGATGTGATTGCATTGGAAAGGTGCAGAGAAGATTCACCAGGATATTGCCTGGGCTGGAGCAGTTTAGCAATGAAGAGAGGCTGGATACACGGGAGAGGGGAACCTGATTAATACAAAATTCTGAGTGGCATAAATAGGGGAGATTGCGATAAGCTTTTCCTCCTTGGTGAAGGGGTCAATAACCAGGGGCATAGAATTAAAGTAAAGAGCAGAAAATTTAGACGAGATTTATGGAAATTTTTTTTCACCCAGAGGTTGGTGGCTATCTGGAACTCACTGCCTGAAAGGATGGCAGAGGTGGAATCTTTATAACATTTAAGTAGAATTCAGATGAACCTTTGAAACACCTCAGCATACAAGGCAACAGGTTGCATGCTGGGAAATGGGATTAGAATAGATAGGTGCATGATGACTGATTCTCTTTCTGTGCTGTAAAACTCTATAATCCTATGATTGTGACTATCTCTGCACAGTTAGCTCCTTGAAACAGCAATTAAATAAACAACCAGATCATCAACTGAGGCATAAATATTGTCCAGTACATGAGAAGAATTGTCCCTCTGTGGTGTGGAATATTTTACGTCCATGTGAGAAAGCAGACAGGCCTTTAGTTTAACACCTCATCGAAAGGACTTCACCTTGGAGACTGGAGCCACCCCTCAGTGTAGCACTGGGACAATCAGCGGGGACGATGACTCCAAGCATCTGGACCAAAACTCAAACCCTTCAGACTGTGTGCTACAAACTGGGCCACAAATTACTTCAGATAGCAATGGAACAGCTGACAATATGCAGTTAAGAGTGACAGCAGAGCTTGACCATTACTGTACCTGACACCATAGAAGGCAGCAGACATGAGGATTTCATTGTGGATGGCAAGGCCCATGAAACGTGGCTCATGATAGGTGGATGGTACTGTTCGCACAGCGTAGCAGAGATAACTTCCCCAGCACAGCAAGAGGAACTCAGCTGCCAAGAGAGGGTATATAATACAGGAGAACATCAGTAACCTACAGAAACCGGGGTTATTCTGCGGAAAGAAGAAAACGTTGGGGGATATTTGAAGGAACAAAATAACGGAGGAAGTTCACAGAGTGAATAAGACAATAAGACCATAGGATGTAGGAGCAGAATTATGCCATCCAGCCCATCGAGTCTGCTCCACTATTCAATCATGGCTGAAATGTTTCTCAATCCCATTCTCCTGCCTTCTCTTCATAAACCTGATCCCTTTACCAATCAGGAACCTATCTATCTCTGTCTAAAAAACACTCAATGACTTAGCCTTCACTGTCCTCTGTGGCAATGAGTACTGCAGATTAACCACCCTGTTTGCTGAAGAAATTCCTCTTTATCTTAGTTCTAAAGGGTTATCCCTAAATTCTGATGCTATGCTCTCAGGTTCTAGTCTCTCCTACTAGAGGATGCATCGTCTCCATATCCACTCTATCCAGGCCTCTCAGTATTCTAGAAATTTCAATCAGACCCACGCCTCCCATCCTTCTAAATTCCACTGAATGCAGACCCAGAGTCCTCAACTGCTCCTCATATGACAAGCCCTTCATCTCCAGGACCATTTTTATAAATGACCTCTGGCCACCTCCAAGGCCAATACATCTTTCCTTAGTTACGGCACCCAAAACTGCTCACAATGTTCCAAATGCAGTTTGGTCAGAGCCTTATACAGCCTCAGAACAGTATGTCTCTGTTCTTGTATTCTACCCCTCTTGAAATGAATGCTAATATTGCATTTGTTTCCTAATTGCCAAATGTACCAGCCCATTAACCTTAAGAGATTCCAGGACTAGAAACCCAAAATCCTTTTGTCCTTTAGATTTCTGAAGCTTTCCTTGTTTAGAAAATAATCTATGCCTGTATTCTTCCTACCAAAGTGCATAACCTCACACTTTCCCACATTGTACTCCATCTGCCACTTTTTTGCCCACTTTCCTAGCCTGTCCAAATTCTTCTGCAGCCCTCTTGCTTTCTCAACACTACTTTCCTTTCCATTTATCTTTGTGTTATCTGCAAATTGAGCAACAATGCCCTCAGTTCCTTTGTTCAGATCGTTAATGTGTAATGTGAATAGTTGTGTTCCCAATTCTGACACCTGCGGAACTTCACTAGTCACTGGCTGCCATGCTGAAAAAGACCCCTTTATCTCTACTCTCTGCTTTCTGCAAGCCAGCCAATCCTCTATCCATGCCAGTATCTTGCCCCTAACAGCATGGGATCTTATTTTATTTAGCAGCCCTCTGTGCGACATCCTGTCAAAAGTGTCTGGAAATCCAGATAGGTCACGTCCACTGGCTCTCCTTTGTCTAACTTGCTCATTACCTCCTCAAACAATTCTAACAAATTTGTCAGGCATGAACGCCCCTTGATGAAGCTGTGCTGACTCAGCCCTATTTTACAATGCACTTCCAATCTCATCCTTAATAATGGACTCTTGAAATCTTACCAATTACCGAAGTCAGACTAACCAGTCTATAGTTTCCTATCTTCTGCCTCCCTCCCTTCTTAAACAGAGCTGTTACATTAGCCATTTTCCAGACATTGGGACCCTCCCTGACTCCATTGATTCCTGAAAGATCACTGCCAGTGCCTCTATAATCTCCTCAGCTCTCTCCTTCAGAACTCTGGGTGGCAGTGCATCTGGCCCAGGTGATTTATGCACCTTCAGAGCTTTCAGCTTCCCCAGCACCTTCTCCTTAGTGATGGACACTACATTCACCTCTGTCCCCTGACACTCTAGAAGTTCTGGTGTGCTACTGGTATCTCCTACAGTGAAGACTGAAGCAAAGTGACTATTCAGTTCCTCCATCATTTCTTTGTTCCCAATTACTACTTCTCCAGCCTCACTTTCCAATGTCCACTCTTGCCTTGCTCTCGCTTTTTATATATCTAAGAAAACTCTTGCAATATTATTTTATATTACTAGCTCGCCTACTATCATATTTCATCTTTTCCCCACATATTGGGTTTTTTTTATCCTCTGCTGGTTTTTAAAGCTTCCCAATGCTCTGTCTTCCCATTAATCTTCACCACATTGTATGCTTTTTCTTTTGGTTTTATGCTGTCCCTGACTTCCCTTGTCCCTTACTATGTTTCTTCTTCCTTGGGATGAACTGCAGGGTGAATTCTATCATTTTATGGTCACTGCCCCCAAGGGGTTCTTTCAACTTAAGCTTCCTAATCAAATCTGCTCCATTACAGGGCCAATCCACCTAACCTGCACATCTTTGAAACTGGAACAAACCCACACAGCCACAGGGAGAATGTGCAATCTCCACATAGACAGTCAGCCAAGAGTGGAATCGAACTGGGTCCCTGGTGCTGTGATTCAGTAGTGCTAGCCACTGAGTCACCATGCCGCCTTGTCCCTGACCACTAACCAAGTTCAAGGTAGTTAATCAGAGATGGTAAGAACTGCCGATGCTGGAGTTTGGGAGCTTACAATCCAATGGTCTCAATGTGGACTATACCAGTTTCAAAATTTCCCCATCCCCGGCCTCATCCCATGACCAACCCTCCTTCTCATCCCCGCCTCCTTGACCTGACACAACCTGTCCATCTTCTGTCCCACCTATCCGCTCCTTCTTCCTCACTGACCCAATCCCCACCACTGCCTACCTGCACTCACCTATCACCTATCATCATTCCCCCTACCTTTCCCATTCCCACCCCTCCTCTCTCTATTTATTTCAGAGCTCCCTTCCCCCTCCCCCATTTCTGAAGAAGGGTCCCGACCCAAAATGTCAACATTTCTGCTCCTCTGATGCTGCCTGGCCCGTTGTGTTCCTCCAGCTTCACACTGTGTTATCAAGGTAGTTAATGTAAGGTATGTGGCTGTCCCCCTCCCTAATGTCTCACAGTATTCAAAGCTCAGACTGCAGCTCATCAACTCTTGAACCGGAGTTCCTCAAACAACCAACATTTGTTACAGATGTGGTCTCTATTGGAGTCCACTAGCTCTCACATAGAGTCTTAGTCATAGAGTCATACAGCACGGAAACAGACCTGGCCCAGTATTTCTATTTTGTTTACTTAGTTTTTAATTTGATTTTTAAACATTCCACACTGGTCTTTTAGTTTGTAGCCTGTAAATATTTCCCCATCAATGTGAAAGTAACGATAATAGATGGTCAAATTAGTAGTCACCCCAACCAATGAACTTATGGTTTATCTGTGATAAGGAGAAACTGTTTCCAGTGACAGGCAGGTCAATAAATAAAGAGCTTTGATTTATAATAATCAGTGAACAAATACCAGGTAAGATGAAGAAGAAGGTTTGAAACAGCACATTGTCGCAATCTGGACTGTACTGCCTGAAAGGATGATGGAAGCAGTTTCAATCTCCTTGATTCACACTATTTCTTCTCTGGGGATTCCTGGAAAGATTCAGGGGCTGATCACTCTCTTAAACCATGTCATGGACACTGCTCTCATGGTCTTGTTGGGGACCCGAATGCAGAAATTCTGACCCAGAGGTAAGGACACTACCCAATGCACCACAAACCTCAAGCAGATTCAATAATAGCCTTCTAAAAGGGATTGAATAAATACTTGAAGTTAAAATATTTTCAGGAGTGTTGGAAAAATGTCAAGCAGTGGGCCAAATTAGTCAACTCTCAAAACGCTTGCACAAGCAATTAGGGCAGAATGGCTTCCTTCCTAGTTGTAGCATCACAGGCAGGGATTTGTTGGGAAATATAGTCGAGTGATATGACTGCTAATTTAATAAATCTAGAAGGATCTATATAATGTAGACCATGACCAGATGTTTCATCTTGTTCAAAAAAGCACAGTCAGAGAATGCAACCGGTACTTATAGGGGGTAAATTAACCCATGGAACAAGTGACTGAGTGGTTTATCCATAGAATAGGTTTCCTGGAAGATGTCAGCAACATTTTGTACTGATTAATTCAAATGCAAATTGCAGAGCTTTTTCAGAAAATAACATTTTGGAATATAGTGGGCTGAATTTTCTAGTGGGTGGAAACAGGGCATATTTCCTGCTCCCTGCTTCATTACAAAAGCCAGTTCTAATTGGATCAACTTAGTCAAAAAGATTCCCCCCTCCCCACAGCTGTTGACGGTTTGAACATTGAGAGGTGCCAGGACATCACAGTGCCTGGTGGCACTGCACAGCCCTAGAATAGGCTAAGTCCTGGACACGTAGAATTGGAAGGCATTGGGAACCCTGGGGGAGGGGTGAGGGGGAGTGGGTTTGGAAGGCAAATGGGGAAGCACAAATTGGGTGGGGTTCATCTCAGAGGTACACTCAATGCACACAGCACCCCACCCCCGAAAAGATGCATCCCATTTTCTTCCTGGTTTTCCCTGCAGATGCTGAAACGTGGACACTCCTTTCAATTCCACCTGCCCACATCAAGTGTTTACTGGCATTGGCAGCGCAATGTTTGGGTAAAAAAAATAAAAACTGAAAGTGCTGGAGAAACTCAGCAGGTCTGGCAGTCTCTGTAGCGAGAGAAACAGAGTTAACGTTCCAGTCTGATATGACTTTGGAATGTTTCTATTTTAATACTTGGGTCAGTTGGTTTATTAAAATGTTCAATTTCTTGTTAACTATTCCTTTCAAAATGACAGGCAGGCTGTCAATTGGAGCTATGTTGTAGGGATCAGGTTGAGGGTGGTGGAGAAGGGTTGGCTAGCCACCTGAGATACTTTATATGTCCATCCTCCATCTGACTCTGTCATTAACCATCTAAACTGTTCATCTCTGTCCATTTTAAAAACATATAACTTACAAATTTGTAATATTTTCACATGGCCAGACAGTGGGAATAGGTGCATTTGGACCTATGGTTCCCACCACTGGGAATTTCCTCTTCTTAGGTCTAAGTCTGATGTAGACTCATTAATGGAGACTGATTGATGTGCTCAGTCAACAACTTCATGATTCTTCTATCAAATGTCTACTAGGATGGCAGAAGGTACATTAGAT